TGAGGATGTTAAATTCTTAATACAAACATCTTTGAAAACAGATATTTTTAACCTTAATTTGTAAATTGCTTACTTCCTAGTAAGGTACCTGGCATATGGTTTGAGGATGAATTTTTGAGTATATCCCACAGAGGAGGAGAAAATACCATGGCGGTGTATTTGTTGAGACTGTTTTCTGGATCAAGTTGTATCTTTGTGTGTTTTGTGCTAATAAAATAGGATATCTGAGAATGAGTAATTCATGAGGAATAGAGACTTCTATTCCCCATGGTTAGGAAATTCCATTCCAAGAGACCTAAATCTAGTGAGGGCTTTCTTGCTGCATCAGTCCATGGTAGATGGTGGGAGCAAAAGAGAGTATACATGTGTATACATGTGTGGTATGTGTTGGTGTGTTTATATGTATTAGTGAGAGCTGGAGATGGAGAGGGAGTGGAGAGAGCATGTCATACAGTATGAGAGGGTATAAGAGGCTGAATTTGCTTTTTACAACAAATTCATCCTCAAAGTTAGAGCCAACTCCCACCATAATAGTGTAAATCCTCGATACCTTGATAATCACCTTTCAAGACTGTTATATTGGGAATTAAGTTTCCAACATATGAACTTTGGGGTACACATTCAAACCACGGTAGGTCCTAAATAGAAGTCTGATAATCTAAAGTAAACATTGCATGTAATGTAGGGCAGCTGATCGTTCTATTCATGCCCTCTCTTCTGCCCCAGGGTTTGATTCTTTCTCACTTTCCCCTTCCAGGATTCCCAAACTGCCAGTGAAGTCTGCTTCAGTGGTAAATGCATCATGGAGAGTTTTCATGATTAATCAGATTTGATTACCTTTCTTTACCCTGTGCACTCACTATGAATAATAGTAATTGGCATGATGGAAACATTAGGGAAGCTGTAGCTGAATTTATTGCGACTTTGTTCTGCTCTTTTTCCCAGCTGTCATTTGTTGCTAAGATATTCCACTACCATTGTATCTGTTTCCTGGTTTGATCTTTCAGTGTCTTAAGATTTATGACTGTTATTTCCAACTCCACTCCACTCCACCACTGCTAAGTCAACTGTATGAAGATTCCTCAAGACTGAAGGTAACAAATGACTCAACCTCATAACTCAACAGACAGTTGAAACCAATGGACAGAATACAGATCTGATAATCATGTGATCTCATTCTAGAAGGAGCGCTATCATAAGCCAGTTTTGTGAACTGAGTGATACTTTCCTCAAGTATAAAATAAGGGTTTTTGTCTAGATCTGTGTTTCAGAAATATGTATATATACTCTGTGACACTAGTCCCAGATACGTTTTTGGAAAGATTCTAGAGTTACATTCATTTGTGAATTGTTGTATATCACCATAATGAATATTAGCATATTAAAGGTTCTGTATTTTTCTTTACCTGATTGATGTTTTAAGTAGCTTAGTCATAGTTCCGCAGGGAGCTCAATGAGGGAATCACTAACTGAATTTTCTGGGGATCTGGGCTACAGGTGCATACCCTTTATCTCCAGTGCTAGATGCTAGATTATAAAGGGGAATGGGCCAAGATCTCTACTTTTAAATATTAAGGGTCAAATAGGTAAGAAAGAAATGGAAATAAATGAATGTAAGTGGAGTAAAAGTTTGTTCAAATCATAATGGGTTTCGGACTGGGAAGATGGCGCGGTTAGCAATTGCCCATAGCACAAGAATGAGAACCTGAGTTTAGATTTCCAGCACCCAAGTAGAAGCTTGGTGGGGCAGAACATATCTGTAAACCCATGCTGGGGGCAGGCAGATACAGATGACTGCCTAAAGTTCATTGTCCAGCCTTGCCTAATCAATGGCCTCTGGGTTCAGTGAAAGTGCCTGTCTCAAAACACAAAAAAGGTGGAGGTGGAGACTGATCAAGAAAGACATCAGACATTGATCTCTGGCCTCCATGAATACTTGCACACACCTTCATGCACATGTATACATGTGCATGCACATATGCACACACTCACATGAACATGTACATATATCACACACGCGTGCCTACACACACACGTATCCACATGTGCACACAAAATCTTAGTGGTTTTGAGTGAGAAGCGAGGAGGCAGTGTTAGAGGGCAGAACTTGTTATACTTGAAGTGCCAGGTAAGCTGAGCACTGAGGGGCGTTTGCAATAGTTCACTAGGTAGAGAAGGCAGGAGATTAATTACTGGGCAAAAGGAACCCTGTGACATGGAGGTACACAATCCCAAGGTATGCTCTAGACTTGAGAACTAATTCTGTGTTTATAGATCTTGGGAGTAGAGGTTGTTCAGGGGAGGGTCAGATAAGGAGTCTGAAATTTAATAAGTAACAGGAAGCCTATCTTAGGCTAGCTTTTAGTCAATAGAATTACATGATCAATAATTTTTTTTCAAAGGAATTCTGGGGTACTAGGAAAGATGGGAAAGAGACTGGCAGGAAACTAGTTATGATTCTGATAAATGGCTTAAGTAGGAGACAACAAAGAGTTGGAAAATGACCATGGTCAAAGGAAGAAACAGAGGAAAGCTGTCAGAAGGGAATTTAGGAGCTCCAGTAAATAACCCCATACCAGGCCCATGCAAGCAGCCAATGGAACTCAGTGCAGCACCAAAACAATAAATAAAGACGTGAATGTAGCAGGGGAAGAAGGGATGGGGGGAGCGAGAGAGGGTACTGGGGGATAAGATGAAATGCCTTCTATTCATGTATGAAATAATCAATGAATAAATAAATTAAAAAAGAGTTAGACTCAACAGATCCACAGGGAGTGGTTGGTATGAGACGGGAAAGAAAGAAGATCAGGGAACGATACAGTAGAATTCAGCTGCTGTGAGCACTGTGCAACTTTAGCATTTACTGGATAGAGATTTGGAGAAATGCACTATCATGTTGGTGTCAAATTGGAATGAGAATTCTGTGAATATAGACTCATTTTCCTATGAAAACACACTTCTTGACTGTGTTCCAGAGTTCAAGAATTATTTAACTAAGATTATTCTTTTCTAAAGGAAATTTGGCGTTCACTAGAAAATGTATTCCAAACTGAATTAAGTAGGTACTCAGTACACTTTTGTCAACAAGACAGCATTTAAATCTACATTTTTTCTTTGACTTTGTTTCTGCAGAATAATTATTTCAGGGGCTATAAATCCATTTGACATTTCATTTGATTTAAAACTATTCTTTCAATGGCAGTGCATTGTATATACATCAGCACCTCAGTAGTTCTAAAATTATTTTCATCTTCTAGAAGGAAACAGCACAGAATGATGAAGTTTATGGTGATTTAAATATTAAGACCTTATTTTGGAAATAATCCTAAATTTGACGTGGAACACTAAATATTACTGCCAATAATGCATTAGAAATATATTTTTCATAGTTAGGGAGTAAGGTTGTGGGTTAATGAAAATTAGAAAAATTTTTTTTATAAGACCGTGGTCACTTGTCATATTGAAATTAATAAAGATTCTAAAGAATTATATTTCCAACAACGATTGTATAGGATTATTTATTTAGGGGGAGAGGAACTCCCTCTAAGAGACAGGATACAGAAAGTCTCAAGACCCTAGATGTCTCCCCAAAGCAGTCTGCCTGATTAGGTCACAGAATTGTGTTTTTACCTGGGCAGGCTGCATTCCATTAGCAGTAGAAATTGTATGAGCTACTTTCACAAGTCCATAGTCACCTTCCCTTTTGGAATTTTTCTTTGTCAATTACCCAGAATTCAGAAACTGAGTTAGTGGATTGGGACTGTTGCCATAAGTAATTTCTCAGAAGAAACTGCAGTCTGATCCTGGAATGTTGGGGTGTCTTCGGAGCCTTTCTCCTTGAGAAGCTAGGGTACTCAAAACTCAGCCGCAAAGCTACCCCAAGCCAGAGGCCTTTGGGATCTTGCCTCGGACCACAGAGGATGAGTTTCAGAAAGAAACATTTTCTTATAGGGAACTAAGGAGAGAGAAAGAAGGCAGAGCTCCTATACAGCTGGAGTGATTCCTGGGCAGTGGAATACCATGGAGCCTCACTGCCCTGGAGTTAACAAGGCTTTGGAAGGATGGAGGAGGAGCAGTGGGTGAAGGGGTGTGCGTGTATGTGCGTGTGTGTGTGTGTGTGTGTGTGTGTGTGTGTGTGTGTGTGAATGAGCTGGTCAGTCCACTTCCCATTCCAGGTACCCAGGTCTCTGTAGTTTCTCTCATGTCCTTAGTATGGTTTTCAGGAACCGTATTCTTTTAAGGAAAAGAGATAAGGAAAAGACCAGACTCCCTTTCTGCCATCCCCAGCCTCTGGTCATGGTAGAACCGGAGATTTTGACTTAGACACTTTTGGCATCTCTGGCCTCTAGCAAGGGCAAGTCTGCTGGGAGTCCAAAAAGCTTCTCCCTTTTAATTAAGAAAAAAACTGATCACTTTTCTTTGGAGGTCTTTTTACCCTAAACTGCATAACAAGTTTTATGTCTTGTTTTCATCAATTCCACCTTAAAAACAAAGTAGGTTATCAAACCTGGCTACACTTCATAAAATGAGCAACTTGGGGGCAGAGTGACTCTTTACTTTTTTTTTCCCCCCACATAAAGAAATAAAGATAAAACCTGAATGGTCTTACCTTGATAGATAAGGCAGCCTCTCCTCCACTTCCTGCAACTGTTAATGCATTTAAGGCAGGAACCCACCCGTAATTGTTTTGAAAAAACAAAACAAAAAGAAATCTTAGGAGGCAGGTACTAATGCCTGTTTCACTGTAAATTTGAGATTAGTGATATAAGGTTGTTGTAACTAAGTCTGGAGACATTGCAGATTTCTAAATGCATTTTATTGCATTTGAAAGAAATGTTGTACTCAACAAAATGTAATTTAGAAATGAGTTGAGACACAATGACCCTTCACTTGAGAGCAAAACAACCTATTTCCTCATAGTTAAAATAGAGGGCGGCAATGCCAGGCTGTGGTTTCTGAAGTCTATCCACCTACTACCTTGCTGTGCCATTCTCTCCTCTGCTCGAGCCACTCCCTTAACTTGATATCTGTTTACTTTACAGGGAGCAGGTTTTGAGACCGGATCATAAATATCCTGGCCCAGTGCCCTAGAAGGAAGACAAGGGAAAGAACATACTCACTCGCCTTCTCAAGATAGCCTTTGGGATGTTTAAATGTGTGGGTTAATTTTTTATCCACTTTAATAACTGTTTTTTTTTTTTCCTTCCATCTTCTTTGCTCTCTATTTCTGTTTTGAAGCAGCAGACACAAGGATCTCTGCAGGCAGATCACTCCAGAGCCTATTGCAGGACAATCCTGTGAGGAGTAGTTTCATTTGAGGCATCTGGGTGGCTGTCCCTTCTCCGAAATGGCAGGTGTGAGTGGCTGTATAAAATATTCCATGTTTGTCTTCAACTTCTTGTTCTGGGTAAGTATTTTTCTTTTAATTATCAGTTTTACACAAGGAAGGTTATCTTGAGATAAATATCGTAACCAAGAACAGACTTACATTAGAACAAAGGATGAGAAGGAGGATTAGAGAAGGAAAGACATTTTTCATTCAGCTGTTTGGATTTTTTTTGCCTCTCTTTGGTTGTTTCACATATTGAAAATAAGCCAATGGTTCAAAAAGTGCACTCAGTCTATGAGGATAAATGCTTCCTAGTGTTGCAAAAACAACACAGCGGAAAATAATACTCCTTAATTAAAGGACAATTATTGTTAGTTATGTATCAATCAGGGCTCTCCTGTTTAAGAACACTGGGAAAAACTTTGATTCATCCACAAGCCTGGCTCCTGGTTCCCTCCCTTGATATCTGGGTTTAAAACAGGTCACTAACTAGCAGGTGCTGTGAAATAAATACATGAGAGGATCATTTTCAGAATGCCTAGGAAAAAATAATGCGTTATGAAACCAGGAGAAGCAGTAAGATTATTTAATCATAAGATTCAGCTAAGCCAGTGGCTATGTATTAGTATTTTAAAGACAGTATTTTGATGCATCATCAACTCACCTTTAATCAACAGGGTTTATATTTAGCAAATTATACTTCTTTTGAAAGTTCATTGGTGTAGACATAACAAATACACTGAAAGTAGCATTTAACATGGAAAAATGGAGAAAAAAGATGTGAAAAGGGTAGGGTGGGATATTGGGAAATCGGCCTTATCATTTTTAGCATATATGATCTAGTTAAAAGACTGCCCAAAAAGTAAAGCAATGGAAATAACCCAAAGTGCTTAAATAAAAAAATCATTTTATATTCTGGATTGAAAAGTAGCTTATGCATTATTAAAAATAAAAAGCTCTGGTTTTGTGATAAGATCTTTTTGCCTTTAATAGAGAGGTAGCTGATATCAATATATTCATTTTTTAAAAACTTTCAGTCAAAAGACTTATTAGAGAGCTAGGAAGAGCAGTTGCGTGAAGATCCCATAAATTCTGTTCTATTAAAACAATAGTAGACTGAAATAAACCTATATGAACACAGTTTTACTGCTTACAATGACTTTCCATTCAATGGCTTGTAGCCATAGTGAATAGAAATGACATATTGATGAATTAAATAAGTATTTATTTATTCATACAAATGATTTAGAGAATGAAAAGTTTGTTCTTTGTATTGCCTCTTTTCTCTAGAATGGGCTACTTTTGAAAATACTAAATGAAACTCAAGAATATATGACTTTAAAAAAATGTAATCCTAATGCATTTCTTTTCTTAAAATATTTAGAACATTGAGACTGGAATATAAATAAAGAAATACAAATGTTATTTATATTTTTTTCAAAGTTTCCAACATTCATAAAAGAAGACAAATTTGGGGAATTTACTTCATCACCTGTCCCCCAAAATCATGAAACCGTGTCCAATTCTGGTCTACCAGACTCTCAATCACTTGCCATATCCTTAGCAATTAGGAAGCAAATCTCAAGTACGTCATTCCATCTGTCAATGTTTTAGTATGTATCTTGAAAGGAAATAATGCTTAAGAACATATCTACACTATCACTATTACACTTTAAAAATGTAATAGGGATTTGTTAGTCAGGGTTTAAATTTCTAATTTCTTCATAAATATTCTTCTTTGGACTGGGATCCTGGTAAGCTTCACAGATTGTGACTGGTTTACACATCTTGTGTATCTATTTTAATCTCTTCATCATTTCTTTCCTTTTTGAAATTTTGTGTAGCTTTTTGTTTAGTCAAATTTTCTATGGTCTGGATTTCACTCTTTGAATATCCAGGGTGTACTTAACATGCTTTTCTGTCCTCTGTACTTCTGTAAGTTAACAGTGACATCAGGCAGTTTGACAAGATTCAGCGATTTTGGGGAGGGGCACAAGTACTTCATGAACGACACTGTATCATCAGGAGGTACATCAGTGTGTCACTTCGTGATGACACTTAAGTCCACTTTTAGTTCGTTAAAAGGTTCAGGTGGTATTCTTGCTCTCTCACTATTTCTTCATATAGTATCTGAGAGGAAATTTGTTTGGTTTCTACTGCTGCCGTGTGTGTGTGTGTGTGTGTGTGTGTGTGTGTGTGTGTGTGTGTGAATGGGGCACATCACATATGATATCTTTCATAAATACTTAAATACAGCATAAATACTTCTTTCCTAGTCTTTACCCACCAGATTTCAAACCAGTGAGTTACCTTTCTCGTACCATTCAACAATATTTTCCTTATGAAATTTTTCAGTACAGTTCTTATCCTATTGATGTATGATTTTTTTCATGTTTAGCCAATAGACATAAGTTGCTTCCTGACTTTTTGACATGATTATAATAATGTTTTTTGTTTTGCTTTGAGACAGGGTCTCCCTGTAGACCCAGCTGGCTTGTTACTCATTATGTAGACCAGGCTAGCCCAATCTCTCAAGATCCACCTGCTTCTGCCTATTGAGTGCTGAAATTAAAGGTGTGCTCTATCATGCCTGACTCTGATTATAATAATCTTTATAACTTCTTCACTATTTGGTGGGACAAGTTGTTCCAGGCTCATTTGCCTTTTTACTGGCTAGAGTTAGAGCCCTCTATTACTTTTTAAAAAAAAACAAACAAACAAAAAACAGACTAGCCATTGTTTATTTTTCTGCGAGATACATATGGAGCATGTAAATGTATTAATATACTCATAGTTATAAGATACTTTCAAAAAGTGTCTGAAGGAGCTGAAGAGATGAATCAGTGGTTAAGAACACTGGCTGTTCTTGGAGAAGACTGGGGTTCAGATCCCAGCACCCACGTGGGGGCTAACAACCTTTCATAACTCCAGTTCCAGGGGATCTGACATCCTCTTCCTACCTCAGCAGGCATGGCATGACATGGGTGCACTTACATACATGCAGGCAATACATTCATACACATAAAATAAAACAAAAATAATAAAATATTTTTAAAAGCGACTGAAAATACTCAAACCATTAATTATCTTCATATTAGGAAATAGTTAAAATACATCTTTAGTGTATAAAACAAGTATGCAAAGTGATGATGGAAATTGTAAAGACTCCTTTATTGTCTAATTCACAAGCAGGAATTTGAAACAGATCCAAATTTTGAACCAAAATGTTAAAGACGATCCAGGAAAGGGCATGGAGTAGATTTGAGATTACATATTTAAGATTAAGACTCAAGGTCAGTTGTAGCTATCTGTACCCACACATTGTCACTACTTTCCTAGGGAATTCTGATTACTTTATGGTTGCCACAAGCTGCTATTTCTCTGATAACACAGATTAAGTCTTTCTGATGCTGTAGATTTCAGTTAGATAGTTCTAATTTCCTTCACAGATTCTTCCCATCCTCTTATGTGGTGGGACCTGAAGTCTCTGCATAGGAGATCTTGATGTGACATCAGTATTTTAAATCAAAATCTAGGCATCTGGAGACATTTCTGAGGTGAGGGAACATTTCTGTTTTCACTCTCCCACCTTCCTCATCACAGTGTTCTCAGTTGAAACTTTACGATCCTTCATAGGAAATTAGCAATTTGTCACATTCTTAATGTTTACTTAAGTAAAAAATTTAACAGTCCCACTGATGCGGTTTTCTTGTAGATGTCCATGGCCTTGTGTTTTCAAATGCATTCTTTCTGGATCTAACTTGTGAACCTCAGCTTTTGTAAAATAGAGCCAGATGTTGAAATGTCTCTGAGATCTGCATATGGTCATTTAATCTAAACATATTGGCTTCTTTTGGGGGAGAACTCGATATGCCACACAAATACGCAGTGGTTTGCACTTGTCAGAATTACTAATTGAAGAAAAGCATGGGAACTGAAAAATCATTCTTAATCAATCATGCTAGAGGTTGCTCAAATGAGAGAAATGGAGGTATTTTCAATAATAGGTAAGTTATAGGTACAAAATCTACTTCCTTGAGTCATATGTCAAGACAGATGAAATGCCCACATTTTTTCATGCTCTTCTTGGATAGATCAGGCCTGAGAGTGCCATAGCTGCTTAGGGTTTCCTGGGCATCTGTGTAAACATGGAACATAGACTTTCTGCTGGAATACACAGAGTAATAAAGACCATACAAAGAGAACCAAGAGAGAGGCCAGATATTACCAAGAAAAGCATGGGAGTGGGGCGGGGTGGGGAGATGACTCAGCAGTTAACAGCACTGGCTGCTTTTGCAGAAGAGAAGAGTTCAAATCCCAGCACCCATATGCCAGCTAACAACTGTCCATAACTCCAGTTCCAGGGGGATCCGAGTCCCTCTCTGTCCTTTATGGGCAATGCATGACATGAGTGCACTTACTACATGCAGGCAATACACTCATACACATAAAGTAAAGATAAATAATTAAAGTTATTTAAAAAAAAGAAAAGCACAAATCTCAGATAAACAGAAAGGGACCACATTGCCAAGCCAAAAGCATCAGTACTTGAAGGAATCAATGCATGAGGATGTTTGAAGAGGGCAGAGAGCGGTCTGAACATGGAGTGAATCCAAGAACCAGTGGTTTAAAGTTCATTATGTTTTCTGTGGTGCCTGGGACTCTACATTGACTATACGCTACTTCATTAAGAGACTGAAGGCAAAGCAGACATATATAGGTAGAGATGTATCACAAATAATATAACACAATTATATTTATTCTTTCAGCTGATGAAATGCACCATAATAAATAGTTAGCCATGGCTGAAATGTATGCAATTATAAATACAGTGGCTGCCTGCCATTGCGCAATTAATGCTGGATGAATTGTGGAGGCAGCAAAGGTGCTAGAGCCCAGTGGTACAGAGCTCAGTCTGACTACCAGCTGCTTCAGTCCCAGCTGCGCTTCCTTGAAGAAATTAGCTTCTGTATGTTATTGTTCATCATCTAGTCAAACCAGGACTGTAGCTGTATCTTCTTAGATCACTGTGATGATTAGATGGATTAATATACACAAAGAACTCAGACTAACACTAAATAAGCATTTAAGAAAACAGTATTTTTGCCAACAATTTTATAGGTATTTTTATGAAACATAAACACAAAAGTACATTGTAATGAATAATGCTGGGTTTTGGAAAATAGGAGGCAATAAGACAGGAGGCATTTATTTTTAGGCAAGAATTCTTCCAGCATAGATTAAAAGAATGGAAAAAATATGAATTCAGATCAACTGAGATGCAGATCTTGAACCTCCCCGCATTGCTTGGTGACCTAGCATATGTTCACTGACTTTCCTGTGCCCTACTTTCTGCATGTGTAAAATGATGATGGTACTTCCACCTGTAAAGATGAACTAAGACTCTTTTGGAAGCTTATAGCCAAGGACTGGAATGCCATAGTTTAATTAGTACTCATTTTTTTTTATTCCAATGATGAATCATATTGCTTTTCAATGTAAAAGTATTAGAATTTGCTATGATCATATTTTATACACAGTAAACTATTAAAAAGTATAATTTCAGCCCTAATCTGACTCTCCTCTTTTCCCATAAGGAAAAGAGTCTGTGAGAAAAGAGGGAATATGTCCCCAATGATGCTGGCCTCCACTCTGGATAGCTGAGACCCCAAATTTCCCCACCCAGTAGCCCCATACCTGTGGCTGGGGACTGTAAGTCTCTTTTACATGAATGATTATGGGAATTGTTGGGATCTGATCTTGGGTTTCTAGGCATCCACACCCGTTCCTGTTAGGTCCTGAAGAGCTCAAAACAGAAGCAGGAGTTCATCTTGCCTGAAGTCTTCCTGCTCTCTTCCTGGGATTTTATTGAAGTGCTGGCTGGTTGGGTTTCTGGTGAGGATCCTTGTTACTATGTTCTCACATGGCTTTGCCCCAAGTGTTAGTGGACAGAGACAGATCTCTCTTGTAAGGCTGAAAATCCTATTGGATTAGTATTCTTCCCTGATGACCTCATTTGATTTAATTATCTCACAAAGTCCTATTTATTTATTTTTAAATAGATATTGAAGTTTAGAGTTTTATATATATAAGAATTTGGAGAGGCAAAAATCAGACATTTGCTTGTCCATAAACAAAGAGCAAATTTGCCTTAGTTCTCAAAATACCGGTTTAGACCAACCACATGCTATTTGTAAAAACAAAGATGTTCTTTTAGAGCCAGATAAAAAACAATGATTCACCTGAAAGAGAAACCTGAGTAAAGGTGGACCAGGCAGGCGGTTCTACAGTGTCCGGTGACAGCAGGCTTGGGGCCAACATATTAACTCCCTTCACGTCACAATCTTATAACAAACAGTGGAGAGCTCTGGATAATTCCTAACTCACACTTTCATTTGTTTAAAAAGTATAAAATTGGGGCTGGAGAGATGTCTCAGCAGTTAAGAACACTGTTCTTGCAGAAGACCCGGGTTCGATTCCCAGCACCCACATGGCAGCTAACAACTGTCTGTAACTCCCTCCAGTTCCAGGGGATCTGACAGCCTCTTCTGTCCTCTGCGGGCATTGCATGACATGGGTGCACTTACATACATGCAGGCATAACACTCATAAACATAAAATAAAAAAAGTATAAAATTTTGGGGGGACAAATCCTTAGTGCCAAAAGTGGCTGGGATCAGGAAGTCTGCATGAGCTCATTATAATGGTCAATCTTTAAACAATGGATATGGAATTGCTTAATATCTACTCATGACTTTAGAATGCTCACCTTGATAGAGGATACATTTACTTTAAAGTTAGCCATAGAGTTTATGATGATGCTCCTGATAGTAAGTTTGTGATTTTCACATGTCAATTTCTCCAATGAGATAAGAATGATACATTTTAAATAGTTTCTTTTCATTTTTTAATATATTTTATTTTTACTTTTTATTTTATGTGTATGAGTATATTTCCTGCATGTATGTAAGTGTACCTGTGTCATGCAGTGCCCACAGAGGGCAGAAGAGGGAGTTGGATCCCTAAAACTGGAGTTATGGATGGTTGTTAGCTACCACGTGGATACTGAGAACCAAACCCGGGTCCTCTGCAAGAGCAGCCAGTGTCCTTAACCTCTGAGCCGTTTCTCCAGCCCACAGTTTCTTTTCATTTTTAAAATAAAATATAGAAAAAGAAAAGATAGAGATGGGACTGGAAATGAGAGTTTAGCCAACTTCAAGATCTGTAAAAGAATTTGTCTAATTGTGAAGACCAAAGTTAAAAAAAAAATTCTTGACTTCTGAAATAACTGATGCTGATGCTGCAGATGATATTCAGTGGTTAAGAGAGCCTAACATTATCATTTGAAGGACAAATATGGTTGACTTCATAAGATATATATGTATGATTTAACTTCTCAATACTCAAAAAAGTGAAGTAAACAGTAACCAAAAAAAAGATAAAGTGGGGCTGGAGAGATGGCTTAGTAGTTAAGAGCAGGGGCTTCTCTTGCAGAGGACCCAGGTTTAGTTGCCAGCACCCACATGGCAGCTAACACCTGTTCGTAACTCCAGTTCCATGGGATCTGATGCCCCTTTTTGGCCTCTGTGGGCACTGTAGGACATGAGTGTACTTGCAATACACTCATACACACAAAATAAAAATATTTTTTTAAAAAGGAGATAAAGTTTTAACTAATATCACATTCTTGCTCTTAATATTTCTTAAAACTTTCTCTGACAGGCTAGTAAGTTCCAAATAAACATTAGCTACCAGAATAATTAGCATCACTTTTAGTTAAAGGTAAAGACCAGGGTGACATTAAGACGATCAATGTAAATGTACTTGCAAAGGGAGAAGAAAAAGGTAGAAAATATCAGGAAGAAAATAAAACAACTACCAAGAAAAATTCCAATTAGTATAAAATACTGAACATCAGAAGACTGCATTACCATTTGATGGTAACTCTCACTTGTTGACTTACTACCTAATAACTGCTAACATGAGCACTTATCTTCATTTGGAAATAAAATTGATCATTTGCTGATAGGAAGTAGGGAAGAGGTGTGCGACTCTAAACATTTTTGTCCAGTTTTTATTGCATAGTGCCTCTGTGTTCCTGCATGAAAGAAGCTCATTGCGTAGGTTATTTATTGACTAGTTGATAAAGAGATTCATTTTTTAATTGCATTGGAATAATTGCAGTGATTTTTTGGAGTTAAGAAGGATTGCTTAGGAGTTGCCCTGAATTTCAAGCACAGAACTGTAATCTCTCAGGATTTCAGTTTATACTAATAAGCAGTTTGAGCCTAGATGATTTTGAGCTCTTTTAGGTAGCAGAGATTCTGCACCTCTTCAACTGCTCAGTGTGCTGGCTGCCTATTCCTTAATAAGGCCCTTGACCATATTTCTACTGCAAGCTTAATGAGAAATCATTAAAAGTGCTGCTTAGGAGTCACAGGCATATGGCTCAACCAATCCTGAAAGCAATGACATTCCAAGGTCACTGAGTTTTGGAGGCCCCAGACATTTCTTTATCAGAGTACGGAAAAGTCAGAGGCATCTAGAAAGCCCTCTGGGGCCTGCTATGTCTGGTACTTACCAGGGTGTGTCTCAACATATCTTATCTAATAATACATCTTTGTTTTTTTTTTTTTTTTTTTTGAGGCCACTAGCTATATTTGTTTACTTAACCTTGAAAGACAAGAGTTTTCCTTACACTAAAGAAAATGTGTTTCACATTTTATGTGTTGGCCATGGTCCAAATTAAATAATCTGGTAAAGTCATTAAAGGAATTTAAGACTGTAAGTACAGTTCCCCATTGTTCCTTCTCTCTGGGTCAAGTTTACCACCTAAAAGAATTTACTTTTAAAAAAGTTTATTTAGATTCAAAAAAATGTTGGTTAATGTTTACCTTTGTTGCTTCATTTCACGTTTGTCAATTGCTTCCCTGCTTGCTTTGTGAACTTCAAACTTCCTCTTTTTTTTTTTTTTTGGTCTTTTTTGAGATGGTTTCCCTGTAGTCCCAGCTGCCCCGAACTCACTATGTAGACCAGGCTGGCCTTGAACTCACAAAGATCCGCCTGCCTCTGCCTCCCAAGTGCTGGGATTAAAGGCGTGCACCACCACACCTGGCCCAAACTTCCTCTTAAATCTTGAATGAGTGCTTAGTGCCTTTCTTTTTGGTACAAGAAAGAATTTTAGAGTCAAATCCAGGTATATATTAAGGATATTTTACTTTTAAACCATTGTGACTTATCTAGCAAAAACACATGATTAGAATGAAATCATGGAGGAAAATATCTTTCTCCACCTAGCAGAGATGACTTCTTATCTCTAGACTATGGATGGACTGTGATGAGACGAATAGTTATTCTCATCAAACTTACGAGCTGCTGTGGAGCATATCAGGCTGTAATAGTACAGTTAACAACGAACTATTGCAACTGGATAAATGGAGTTTGTGGAATTAGCATTTCATTTCACTTTCGTCTTTGTATTCTAACATTCTTTTTCTTTTCAGCTATGTGGTATGGTGATCCTGGGACTAGCCATATGGATACGAGTAAGCAAGGATGGCAAAGAGGTAAAGATGCAGACACATTAGGAGCTCCTCTATCTCCCTTCCCCCACCTTCCAACCTGCTTTTGCAGCTCTTTGACATGTGACTGACTTCCACTGCTGAACATGCTAGCTTAACTCAAAGAGCATGGCTTTTTCTCTCCCTCTTCTCCGTCTTCCTCTTCTAGGCAGCTGCCAAGATGTATAGCTTGCGTGTCCTGGGGTTTCCTTTTTAAATTCTAATAAGACTGTCCTAAGACCCCTAAGAGGGGCCCCAATTTCCCCACCACAGGCGGGGCTCCCCCAAAATTCCAGTAGAATTATCCTCAGATTAGAAAGATTTCAACTAAAGTAGCAGAAGGAAAGGGCCAAAGTAGAAACTTGCTTCCGTCACTACTATCAAGGCCAGTCTGATGCACAGCTTGGAGACAGAGAACATTTCTCCTCTTCATCAAGAACACCTTTTACAGCACATTTTGATCACAATTTAGCTAATCCTAAGGTAGCTGGTCCAAAATAAAAGAAGATGAAATATTTCTTAGAGAAAAACCTTCAGAGGTAGCAAAGCACAAGGATAGCTGGTATTTGCCTGTTTCAACTGGAACTGAAGGCACCCCTTTTGAACAGAGGTTGCTAGGGTAACTCAGCAGTTAGCTGGGGGTGTCCGGATTCTTGATCCATACATAATGGGTCTTGTTAAGACCCATTTCCTACCACCATGTACCTTTTCATCTCCAGAGACAAAACTCTTACCAATATACTCTCAGGTTTGGAAGAAGTTTAGTTTATAGGTTTAATTCTAGCCCCAGCATTTCAACTCAGCATGAACTATTTCTGTTCTATGCTATAGTTTTACAAATGTACAAGGAGGGGGAAAGGGTGAATATGTGGGTAGGTGATTATATCAGGTTTACCCAACAGAATGCCATCTTGGCTCCAAGCCTTGGCTCCCCTGTTCCTGTTCTTTCTTCCTCCACTTCCCAGAAGTACCCCTACCTGTAATTAGTGTTGCCTCCTCATGCAGAACAGCTTGCTCATTCTTGACTGCACAGGCTCTTGTCAGTCTGCAGGGCCATGTCTTCTTACCAGAGCCCTTTCAAAGGTTTTGTTCCAATGATTTTCTTCTCTTAAGCATTCCCATTCCCCTTTGAATATTATAAGGATAATATTAAGCCAGCAATGAAGATAATGCATTAAAATTATTGAAATTTATTACCTTGTGGTACAGCTAAATGCCTTTGGATACAGTCTAGTGGAAAGAAAGATTAAAAGCAAATTGCAACTATCTTGTTTTCTTTTCTAAATGGTCAACTTTTCTGGAAGTTCTCCCCTTCCCTCAAGACTTTCTATCCCAAGAGAGTCCATAGTGGCAGCTAGCTACTTCCTTATTTGGTACCTCACTGGATGAAGGATCTGGGTGGAGTCTAGCCTCCCAGTTCACCATAATTTCATTTATTTCTTATACTTATACATGGAGCTCTGACTTCCCAAAGGCCTGGGGATCTGGTGTTTGAAAATGAAGAAGAGCACATTGGAAGGTGTGTGTATAATCTGTCTGACTCTGGGGCTCATAATTAAGCACAAGGATTCACAATCACTACTCATAGAGTACTTTGGGACTTTTTAAGATGTGTGTGCAACTGAATTTATTTTTTTATTTGATTTCTCATTGATGTTTTCTTTTCCCCTAATGTTTCTTTTAAACAAACTTGGTGGTTAGTCTGTTAAGAAATGACACACATTGAACATATTAAAGGAGAGCTGTTGTCCTTGAGGAAGTGTCACTACACATCTGGGAATGAAATGGACTGATGGGACTAGAGACCATCTTTAGTTACATTTAGACTCCTGTGCTATCTGCCCCTTACCCAGAACAGAAGTCAGGATCTGCCAGGACAACGTTAACTAGCCCGACTTATGGGAAATTAGCTTGATTTGTATTCATTTGAAGGTAGTGGCAAAAATCAAGACTGGGCAAGAGCTGAATTTGATTACTGGAAAAAAAAGTAAATTTACAAGGGCAAGCATGAACATAAACATAAATGAAGGGCAGGGCAGTGACATCTCTCTGTTAATGTGCCTCTTAAGATACTTTTTTGGGGATAAACTCAACAACACCATAGAGCACAGCATGGGCAGCCACCCTGTTTCAGGAAATTTCCTCTAATCCCACCTTCCAGGCTCTCCAGCTTCTCTTCTGCAGAAATTTTCCCTTTCCTTAAGAGACACACAGACTCAGTGTTCATCCAGGACAGCTTAGGAAACTTCACTGGGTTTCTGCTGGAACAAACATCTGAGCTCAGATTTCAACTTCATTCTTCAATATGAATAGCTATTTGTTGGGCTTAACTTGCAATGAGAACTGCTAGGTAGTCAACACGCCGCTTTTCGGCTGATCCCTGACACCTAGTGACTCTGCTTTGGTGAGCCTCATCAGTCTTTTGGAGCAGCTGCAATGGGCTTTGGCTATACTACTCGGGCCTCCTGTGTAGACATTCCATCTATTACCTCTGTGTCTGAGTTCTCTATTCTGAGTTCTGATAACCTTGCTAGTGAGTCTTCCACTTTCTTAGATGCAACAGAATGTCCTGGTGATCAGACAGAGCTGCTGTCCTAAAGCCGATTTTTGTCATATTTGTTTTGACTCAGGCCTTAATGCCTATCTATTAACAACAATGATTTCTGTGGCTCCAATCTTTTTTAATATAACAATTTTATTAATTCTTTTATTAATTCTTTATGAGAATTTCATGTCATACATTGCATTTTGGTCATATTCACCCACACTTCTCCTTCTAACTCCTCCCAGATCCACCCTCTACCTCCTCCTGATTTCATGTCCTCTATAATTTTTTTATAACATACTCATGGCTGTGGGGCCATCCACTGAACCATAACTGATCTACTAAGGGCCACACTCTTAAAGAAAACTGACTTTCCTTTCCCCACAAGTCTGGCTCCAATCTTAACAAGAAAATAAACAAACAAAAATCTTTAAGACCTAGCCAAGATTTATATATGTAAATTGAAACATTATCTGTGAGACAGAGACAAAGAAGTGTTTAGAAATCACAGAGTTGACCTATTTCCCTTTTATAAATGGAAATGGGCCCAGAAATTAAGGTTAGCTTACCGTCCTAGAGTTACAAAGTTGTTATTTATTGGGACGAAGAATAGAATATAGCTCTTGTAGTAAGGCTTTCATAATTTCAGTATGTTCCTTAATTATTGAGTAAAGATTTCCTGTAGCTATGAGTAAATTTTAAAAGCCTTTACAACAGAAAGATCATTAGTAGTGGCATCAGTTATTTCTATACTAACTGTTAAGGGAGGTGACCTATGGGTAGATTTGAGAATACCCTTCCATAGAGACAGCTCAACGCCTGGAGGTTATAGGAGGCAGGTGCGTGGTGCATTGTATACAGCATGCCTGAGGAGCACAGGCACAAGCACTCAGTCTTCAACTGTGTTGGACTACTGCACACACATGGAGAACAAGTGGCATATGGGGGCTGGGTGTTCCAAGGGCAATGAAGAAGACTATGTTGCTTGGAGAAGAACTGATATTACCAGATAGTAAGTAGTTCACTCACCACAAACAGATGAGGATAGTTTCCTCAATATTTCATTAGTTAACAGTCATGTGAAGTTAAGAGTTTCTGGAAGGACTAGCCCTTCTGGGAATGAGAAGATAGAGTTGATATGGAATACCAGGAACCGGGCTTTTCAAAAAACAAAAAACCCCAAAAAACCCCCCAAGAATCAGAGCATGTTTATTAGCCCAGAACAATTTCCTGGTGTCCCCTTTCAGTCAATTTCTGCCTTCCTTCCTATTTTGCTCAAAGGCAAAGTGTTTTGATTTTTATCACCATTCCTTTGCCTGTTCTTGAACTTCATGGAAATGTAATCACACAGTTACATATGGCTTCTTCAGCTCAACATGACTCTGACATTCATTCATGTTGTGAGTAAATCACAGCAATCTGAAGAATTTGGGATTTTTTAAAAGTCAAAATAATTAAAGTATCATCAAACAAGGGCTTTATAATGCTACTGTATGCATAGAATATGCAGTGTGGGACCCAAAGATCCCATCAAGAAGAACAAAAGTGCTTGCCCTTTTAAGCTTTTAAAAAACAGCTCTAAATAGTCATTACATTTCCTCCATCCAACATCTACCACTTCACTGTAGAACAATCCAAGGCTGGAAAAATTACAGCAAAAGCTGTATGTCAACAGGATGAACTTTGAGCAGGCAGAGGCGTTCACTGGTTTAGATCACAGAAGTTTCTCAAGGTCTCAGAACATGGCCTGGCACTTAGTGGATATTCAAGGGATATTTGTAAAATGAGAAAAATAAACATCAAGGAAAGGGATTTCTGCCATAACCTCTTCTTTCCTTCCAGATCCTCGCTTCTGGAGAGTCAGGCACAAACCCCTACCTTTCGGTGAATATTCTGATTGCAGTGGGAGCTATCATCATGGTCATGGGCTTCCTGGGATGCTGTGGAGCTATGAAAGAAAGTCGGTGCATGCTTCTCTTGGTAGGTTCTCTAGACCAATCCCAACACCCACCCTTCAGACTCCTGAGGGTTATCTCCTGTCATTATCCATCAAAGGAATGGCCAAGATTGACGAAACTCTGACTTCTGTTTGGAGAATTTGATTATGGAAGATAACGAGACTTAGGCTTTGGATTACTTTGGCCTAGATTTGTGGTTCCTCTAAAGGAAGACACATTTTAAGTCAGACAGGCTTCAACTCATGCAGTCATTCATTCATGCAACATAATCATATTTTTATGTGCCAGACACTGTGCTGTTTCAGAAGACCTTAGGACAATCAGAGCTCAGGAGGGGACAGTAATAAGTAAACCAATAGTACAGAAAGAGTGGCCCCAGAAGAGAAGGGTGAGGTTAGAAGACAAACTTTCAAGTCAGGGGTAAAAGTGGATAAGCTGTCTGTATGGGTGGAGGGTATGCAGTGGTCTTCAGTAAGAGAGCCTGCGATCCAGTGCCACTGTGTGTGGAGCTAGAAGGTCTTAAGTGTAGTTGGAGAGGACTGAGGCCGCTTTTAGTAATGATGGGAGATATATTTGTGTGGGCTGTGGTCAAATCATACACTGCAGAAATGAAATTGTAAGGGAGATAATCAGATTTGTCACTTAGAATCTTCCAGAAGGATCGACTAGGATGGCATAACCCATAGGCATTCACTTTGAACATATACGCTGGAAAATAATGAATGAATGTTATAAAAATATTAGAAAAAAGTGGTGTAAAGTATAAATCTAACACAAGAATTGATGAGAGCTGATCTAAACTTGTTTTTATAACGACATAAGCATTGTGTCAGTCTGAAAGTAATTGTTTTTAGCTGTTATGAGAAAAAGTAGAGACAGTTTAACAGAACTCCAATAGCATCTTCAGCAGTAGCTTTTTGTGTAATGAAGCCTCGTTTGCAATTTGGGAGATTAATTACTTGAAGAACTTGTTTAGTATGTGTGCTGCCAAACAAAGCGAACGCTTGTTTAAAAAAAAAAACAAAAAACTTGATATGTGGACTGCATACTCCAGAAGACCAAACACACGTTCCAGGATTTATAGCGGATACAGGTTCCACGTGACTCCGCTAGTGCTGGAAACGCTGTTTTGAGTCTGATCTAAGTTCATGTGTTTGTGCCTCCACTTAAAAAGGAAAGGAGAAATAATGAGATGTCTCTAAGTTTTCATACTCCCCTCCCTTTAATATCAGAGACTTGTCAAAAGTCTTACTAATAAAATAAATTGGAGCCACTCCTTGGGCGGTTTTTGAAGCAAATGTTTCTGAGTAGTAACGGGCTTCAGATTTGTAGCTTTAAGTTGAATGGTTATAAGGGCAGACTGTGGCTGCTACTCCACCTGAGTCTATTCTGCCTTTCAACAGTCAGTGATACTAAAATGTCTGGATGTTACTAAGTACTCTGAGAACAACATATCCCTGTTCTTTTTATTTTCAGTTTTTCATTGGCTTGCTCCTGATTCTGATTTTGCAAGTAGCATCAGGCGTCCTCGGAGCTGTTTTCAAATCTGAGGTATGTACGCAGATGATGTTTGACAACTCTTAGAAAAACCTAAAACACTGAAATTCTACCCTCTGGCATGAATGATTTAACGTTTTTTTCAATTTTCAGTCTAGCCGCATTCTGAATGAAACGCTCTATGAAGATGTCAAGCTTTTGAGTGAAACAGGTGATCAAGGAAAAGAATTCCGAGAGGTCATGATTACATTTCAAAAAGAGGTAATTAGAATTTCTTGATCATTTGGGAAGTTGACCATAGTTCTTTGGTGTTTAATTTTTTTTTAAGTTGATGTATTCTGTAAGGATAGAGAAAGTCTCCATTTTGCAGATTTTTACTGATTGCTCTTTCACAATTTTAATAAGAAAAATTCAAGAATATTTGCAATATTTTCTAGCTTCTTAGGTTCTGAAGCACTTTAGGACACAGATTAAGAAGATATGTGTACAAGAAATTAAGCCTCTTTTGGAACAAACCAATAACTGCTTTAACACTTAGGAGCCCCCCTCCTTCCTTTTTGCTTTCCCTCCCTCCATTAAATGATTCTATCTAATCTTAACTGCTTCTTGCAACCCTATGAGGTCATGTTTTAGTTTGTTTTGTATTTCTGTAACAAAATGTCTGAGACTGATAACTTTTTGTAGAAAAGAGATTTATTTAGCTGATAGTTCTGGAGATTGAAGTTCTGTGTGTTCCTCATGGAGGTGGATGTCACAAGGGTGGGATCGAATTTGAAGAGGTTCCTTCTTCAGACAAGAAACAAGAGTCCAGAGGCAGTCCTGCTCTTTTCTTTGTTGTCCTTTGTTTTGAACATTCAGACTATTTTGTTTTTGTTTTTTAAAATGTGTTTTATAATTAGCATACAGAGGTACAGGTATTAATAATAGGTTTCATTTTGGCGTTTCCTTACATGCTTTGTCTGGGTTAATCTTCCTTCCCCAGTCTTCTCCCCCATCCCTCTGCCCACCACTATCACTTGTACCCTTCTGTGTGCAGTAATCCCTTCCCTTTCCTGTTTCAAGTCACATGTATTCTCTTACCCTCCATGCCCTTCCTTAAAGTCTCTTTTCCCTCTCTTGTGGTAACTCATTTTTAAGGAACAAACTCAGTTCTACAAAACCCACTCACTCTTCAGGGCTAGCAGCAGTCCATTCATGAGGGCGAAACCCTCAATATCTGATCACCTTCCACCAGGCCCCATCTCTTAAAAGTTCTCTAATTTTATAACACTGGGAACCAAGATTCTAGTACGTGGAACTTTGTGTAATACACTCAAAATGTACCCAAAGCAAAACGATGGACACATAATGCTCATGAAGGTCATTTTGCAGATGAAACTGACTTAGAGATATCTGACAACCCACAAGTCATGGGGTGGGAATTTCAATCTAAATTTATAAGACCTATGGTTTTACTGGGGTCACTAACCCTTTCCTTTTCTTTTCTGTCTTTTCCTATTTTTTTTGTCTTTAAGATAAAATCAAAACTTAGAAAGACATTAAAGGTATTCTACTATTTGGTTCCTACCTAATCTGTACTAAGAACTACTTCCTCAGGAAAACTATGTCTGGCTGGGTTTGTCTGCTCAAGGTCCCTTGAGCAACTCTGTTTTTCTATCTTTACATCATTTCCTATCCTTGTATGAACCTCCTCTTCTTAGTGAATACACATACTTTAAATATTGACTGAAATATTAGTTATTTTGTGAGATGCTTCCACACCTATGTATTTCAGAATTCCTGTCATATTAAGTACATCTAGGCTTGCTGCAGGCTTGGCTTGTGATAGACATTCTCAGGATCTTAAAGGAGGCCTGAACTTTATAGGTGATTTAACCTAATTTATCATTGATTGATTTAAAAAAATTTTATTATTTTTATTTTATGTGTATGAGTGTATTGCCTGCACGTATGTGAGTGCACCTGTGTCGTGCTATGCCGTGGAGGTCAGAAGAGGGATTCCCCTGGAACTGGAGTTAAGGATGGTTTGTAGCCGCCATGTGGGTGCTGGGAATCAAACCCGGGTCCTCTGCAAGAGTAGTCAGTGCTCTTAACTGCTGAGCCATCTCTCCAGCCCCCATTGATTTATATTTTATATTTATTATCTACCAATTATGTATTGAAGATCTGGGAGGATTTTTGCTCATCCCACCTGTGTGCTCGTCATCAGTGTGCTCTTCCCCACTTTGAAACATTCCCCTAGACTCATATCATTTAGACCTAAAGCTTTTGGAATTTCAGAGGAAAAAGAAAGTCAGTGGATGTCTGTACACATGGTTGTTTTTTCTTTCAAAATATCTGTTGTTTGACTCCCCAAGCTTTGCTTTTCAAGCCCAAACATCCTTAATTTCTTAGACTATTTATTTTATCAGATGGCATTTTTTTTTCTTGAGCATTTACCAGTTCCTATTTGGACAGATTCCAGCTCATAAAAATTCTGCTTAAAAGACTGTTTCCAAGAATGAAATCTGATATGGGTCAGTCCCTGTCCAGCTTCCTGTGTGTGAAGCTGTTTTCCTCTCTTCCCCGCTCCCCCTACTCCCCCCAAGAAGACTGTAGGCAGCCTAGTCTTCCTCAGAGTGGGCAGAGGGATCTTGGCCCTCCCTAGTAAGCTGACCTGGGACAGAAGAGCATGGGGTAACCACTTCTGGGAAAAGTGCTGGGTCACATTTGAAGCACATTTCCTGGGACTGAAGGTCTTAATGCCAACTGGGACTTACTAAATGTTCTGTGGTTATGATGTGCTCCCTGAGATGCTCCCACCTGAGGTGCTCCTACCTGAGGTGCTCCCACCATTCATGTTCAGAAATCCTCTGCCTAAAACTCCAAGTATTCATAGGCCCCTCTTTCTTTAGTATACATCCTGAGCCTGTTTTCATCTTTCTTTATCTTTTGGATTTCTTTCTTTTACTTGTATTTCTTTGGCAAAAGGACCCTACCTTTAATTCTCATTCATCTGGGGGCCATGCTACATGTGGACAGAAATTGCAGATATTGCACAGCCTTTTTATTTCCGGGAATTCCGATACAAATTCTCTATTAACAGATGATGGAATATGCCCCTTTTGGATTTTGAACATTAAGTATTTATATAAAGGTGTTATATCATTAACTCTGGTCTTTTACATCCAATTATCATATAACTTTCAATGTGTTCTGGTCAAACTTCTTCCTTAACTGCCCTAATTGCTGATTTAAAGAGCAGATGTTGTGATATGCTTTAGTTTTCCTATCTCTTACCCTCTCTCCTATGTCTATACCTCTTTAAGAATCCTGAAGTATGCTGTTTCCAAATATGGATGGATCTATATGCATAGGGGACTTATATTCTATTTTAAATATTTTATTATTAATTATTATTATTATTAGTTTGTGTATAAGTGTATTGCCTGCATGTATGTAAATGTACCCATGTCATGCAATATCTGTGGAGGTCAGAAGAGGGCATTGAATTCCCTTGGAACTGGAGTTAAGGACGGTTGTTAGCCCCTGTGTGGATGCTGGGAACTGAACCTGGGTCTTCTGCAAGAGCAGCCAGTACTTTTAACTGCTGAGCCATCTCTACAGTACTATATTCTATTTTATATAGCATGTTCACATTGATTAATTCTATTCAAAATTTGGTATTCAGGAAAAGTTAAACAATTAGTCATCTCTGCCATGGGAACAGGGAAGGAGCTTTTTTTCAAGAAAGCCCTCTTTACTAATATTGACCTTGGAACTACCTGAAAATTTTATCTATTTATCATAAGACCATTGGTTGAGTTGTATATTTGTGCAAATCAGTCTTTGGACCAAAGCCCAAGTACTTTATATTTGTCTCAATTGAACTTGTTAGTTTAAACTCATTATTTGAACTCCCTTTGAAATTGATTGCTCTACAGTACTGAACACATTTTATATCTTTTAAAAAAATTTTGTGCATGACTGTAATGCCTGCATGTAGGCACCCATGTTGTGTAATGCCCTTGGAGGTTAGAAGGCGGCATCGGATCCCCTGGAACTGGAGTTACAGATGGTTCCTGGCTACCATGTGAGTGCTAGGAAGCAAACCCTGGCCCTCTGCAAGAGCAACCAGTGCTCTTAAGCACTGAGCCATCATTCCACCTCTCCCCTTTCTATGTCTTTATCCAAATCAGTGATAATGATGTTGAGCTGATCAAGTTCACACGAGAGAATAATAGGAACAACAGCAGGGAACAAACCAAATTATAGCAGTTCTACAAGCCAGGCACTGGGCCTCACACTGCATATCTGTGGGGCTTTTCTAATTTTTACCTTCACAACACTGCTGGTGATCAGATGCCATCAGCAGCAGCTGTTATTATCTGTGTTTTACAGATGAAGAAACCAGGGCAGAATGAGGTTTTAATACAAGTAGTATGGCCATCCAACCGTGGAATGAAAATTCTTTCAGCTTTTTGACATTTCAGTGTAGCAGAGTCTGAAAGACTACCCAGCACTGGTTCTAGTTTTGTTGTTTCTTTTCCAAAACATTTAAAATTTTCTCTCTAACAGGGCAGTTAGGAGCAGGATGGGGATAGTTACCTTCTTTTCATCTGATGATATGTGTCATGTGCCTTTAGTCATCTGGATTAGCACTTCCTGTTTTGTTTTGTTTTTTCCTCAAGCACAGCCAGGACCTGGTCTCCCTTTAGTGAGTTTATTCTGAATCTTAGCCTTCCTGACATTTTTCTAAACTGTCGATCCTTCATTTGTTCTCACTCCCATATTTTAAAGATCTCCACAAATCTTCAGTCTTAGGGCCAGCCCTGGAGACTCTTCTTTGCTCTTTGAAATGTCTCTTGTCCTTTTTCTCCTCTCCTCTAAAAGTGATCAGAGATCATGGGATGGAAATTTTACTTTTAAAACTTCTTAAATCTTTTTTTTTTTTTTATGAGAACTTGAGTCTCTGGTGAATCTCTTGGAAATTTTTTTTTGCTAAAAATCTAAGATGCATAGATCAGACTCTGTCTTTTCTCATATCATCAAAACTGAAAGTTATGTTTTTAATTTTTTATCTTATTTACAATTTCCTCATACTTTGGCATCTTAGTCATTTTTCCTTTATTGCTGTTGAGACAGAGATGAAGCATTCCTTCTTTCTTTTTGACAACTTTTTTTACATTTTATTTATTATTTTTATTTTATGTGTATGTATGTATTGCTTGCATGTGCAATGCCCGCAGAGGTCAGAAGAGGATGTCGGATCCCCTGGGACTGGAGTTATGGACAATTGTTAGCTGCCATGTGGGTGCTGGATTTGAACCCGGATCTTCTGCAAGAACAGCCAGTGTTCACAACCGCTGAGCCATCTCTCCAGCCCATGACTTTTATTTTTAATTTATATATCTATGAATGTTGAATAAGAAGAGGGTGTTGAATCCCCTGGAGATAGAACTGGAGCAGCACCCTCTTTTGGCTTTCACAGGCACCCATGCAAATATGACATATACTCACACAGGCACACATATACACATAGATATTATGAAAATAAATCTTCATATTATATCATAAGAAACATCTTTGTAATGACATTCAGGGACTAAAACTCAGTGCTTGACAATGTTTTTGGTTGTCTTCTCACTGTTTTTTTGTTCTGCTTTTCATTGTACAGTTGAAATGTTGTGGACTGATCAATGGAGCAGCTGATTGGGGAAGTAATTTTAATTATGCTTCTCAGTCATGCAGTTGTGAAAAAGCATCCGGAACTTCTTGTGTGTCTTATGGGGGCCAATCTGTTTACTCAGAGGTGAGAACTAATTTAAATTTGGTGCAATAAGTGATTCTGTTATATTATTATCACAGTGAAAGTCTCTGAAAATTAAAGTGCAGCAATTACAGTGGAAATTGTGATATGAAAATACAGCAATTACTCAATAATAACTAGATGAGTTAATAGAAATAGTTTTGGATATTTAAAATCAATTTAAAGGATGAATTTCTATCTTGTGTTATAAACATCCTCATATGTGACTTGTAGGTATCAACGTCCAGTTTTCAAATTTCTCTTTGTTAACAAATTTGTCAAATAGTTATTGACTACCTTCTGCGTGCCAGATCGTCTCTACTCACATCTAATCCAAAGCAGTAAACATTTGAGAAAATTCTCATGTTATCTAATGAAGTGATTGATATGTACACAGGGTATAATATCTGTACTCATAGAGCTGATTCTCAAATAGAGAAGAGAGAAAAATAATTAGACAACCTCAGTCCAATGGAGGACTGCCTGGATAGGGGCTGACCCACAAGTCCTATCATCTCTGTCTAACTTAGTGTTTGATGTTCAGAATCTGGCTTCATGGAGGACTTAGCTTCTGTCTATCACCACAAAGATTTTCATAAGCTGTTCCTTCTGCATGGAAGGGCTTAGTCCAAACACAACAATTGACATTCATGCTTGATTTGTTTGCTGTTATTCTTCAATGACTAAATTGTGTCAGCTATACCCTTGCTAGAATCAGACAAGCTTCAGAATCCTTTAGATTATAATCTTGTTGGGAGAGACACACATAAGTTTTCATAACTCACAATGGATTCATTTCAATAATACCTGAAGATTATTTTCAATCCAGCATTGTTTTTATTTACACCTGCTTGTGAGGTTAGCAAATAAAAGGAAACACACTATCATCTGGAAAAATCTCTCTCCTGACTCTTGTTCTATATCTCTGAGCTCATCAAACCTGAAGAAGCCCTGTTCAGAAGGAGTGCTGGTGTCATTAATTTAAAGTAACTCATGGGAAGTTACTGTTCTGCAACATTATTGTTTCCTTTCATTGTCAAAATAATATCAACAAAAAAGTTTTATTTGTACTTTTTTTTCCTCCCTGATCCCCTCCTGCCAGCTTGTGTTTAGCAACACAGTGCTTGCAGGGCAGAATCAATCAAATGAATGTTGCTCCAGTTTAGGATGACGAGAATGAGGAAATTAGTAAAGTCAGTTACACACGGATGTCTGTTTCCTATTAAAGATTCAGTTAAAAGATATTTTTCCTCAAATACATTCTATGAAGCACCTAAATTTTTTTTCCTCAAAATTCACACGTAATTCAGCTGACTCTAAGTTGATAGTGGCCCTAGTGCTCTAAAAAGGACATAAATTCAGTGAATGTTTCCGTCTGCTGTGTGTCATTTTCAAGGAGTCTGGAAAAATAAGAAATCTGGAATGCCATAATTCACATTTTTTTTATTGTCTTTCCTACCTTCTTCCAAGAAAACTTTATTATCTTGGGTTCAGGAGGAGTCAAAACCCTTCTTAAACAATGAATGTGGTTCACAAACACAATCCTTCATCTACTTAACCCTAAATGACATGATGATGATCTTCTCTGTTGTTTACTGCTTTGGATTACTAGTGAGTGGAGAAACCCATTACCTTCAGAAATGAAGTGAGAAAAGACTTCCTCAGACTTGGGGAGAACTTTTACTGTAACTACTAAGTAGCAAGATTTTGTTAGGCTTTCACACACATGACTGTCATAGTGTGATATATTTTATGGCAATACAGATAGTATATTTATTAACTTACATAGCATTTTTCCATTTAAAAATTATCCTTATAATTTATGATTGTTGGGATGTTTAGAATTTATCTGAAATGTTTTAAAATTGAATTTCCATTCTGGTTTCAATACATGTCAAAAGCCACAGTAGAAAAGCAGAAAATTTCGAGAGAGAGAGAGAGAGAGAGAGAGAGAAAGAGATTTTTATAAATTTTCTTTCTTATTGAAAGCATTTTTCCATTTAAAAATTATCCTTATAATTTATGATTGTTGGGATGTTTAGAATTTATCTGAAATGTTTTAAAATTGAATTTCCATTCTGGTTTCAATACATGTCAAAAGCCACAGTAGAAAAGCAGAAAATTTCGAGAGAGAGAGAGAGAGAGAGAGAGAGAAAGAGATTTTTATAAATTTTCTTTCTTATTGAATAGTAGAAAAGCACATTTTTTTTCTTTTTAATGTAAAAATAGCCTTCATATTTATTATTAAAGGATTTTTAAGTTCTTTGTTTTGAAAATGAACATTTGGACTACAATTAGTTAAAACCTGTGCTGCAGATCATAAACCTATAAAACATAGTTAAAGTAATAGCAATTCTGACGTGAAATCTGAAGAGAAAATAAAATTATTTATGATTTTTTTAGATTACAAAATTATAATTTGGTGAGACTTTGGTGAAAATCTATTTATGATTATCAACCTTTGCATTCAGGAGCTATGAAGCTGAAACATTTTTTTTTTTTTTTTGCCTCAAATGCATTAGAATGTATGGAGTAAGAGTGAAGCATGGGTAGCAGAAATAACCTTCTTCTGTTCGGCTCAGTGTATACCTCAGCCCCTGCCTAGTTAGGAGCTGTCAACTTGAAAAAGCCCAGAGTTATCTGAGGGGGTCTTAATTAGGGAATACATTGACTGGCCTGTGGGTATGTCTGTGGGGTATTTTCTTGACTGATAACTGATGTGGGAAGGCCCAGCCTACTGTTGGTGGTACCATCCCTAGGAAGTGGGGCCTGAACTACACGTGAAAGCCAGTTGAATATAAGCAGGCCTCTGAGCAAGCCCGTGAGCAGCATTTTCCCATGGTTTCTGCCTCAAGCTCCTGCCTTGAACTGCCATTGATGATGGACTTTAACCCCTAAGATGAAATAAACTGTCTCCCCCACTTACCGTACCCAAGCTCCCTGGTTTATCACAACAAGAGAAAAGCTAGCTAAAACAATACCAATATAAACTAGCAACCAAATGAATTAAACCTTAATATAAGGTTAAAATTTTACTAAAAACAATGTTTCATGCTTTTTTTTTATACAGACATGTCTTTCTTTGATAAAAGATTTGGTTGAAAAACACTTCATCATAGTTATTGGAATTGCGTTCGGTCTGGCAGTCGTTGAGGTACAGTATAATGCTGTGTGATCAACTCTGCATCCATTCCAATGTTTGTTAGCTCTAATACTTGTGGTGAGCCAAGGCAGAAAGTTCTTTGCTTTAGAAAAGCGCTGGGGACACACTGCCTGGGGTCTAGTGTCTCCCTAAATCAGCCTTGAGCTTGGCACAGGTGGGACCACAGTCCTACGAGCCAAAGAGGGCTGAAGATGCTATTTCTGAATAACTTCTCTATTGAAAAAAATGGGACTAATTTCTATGCAGTTCTTAATCTTAAGTATTCACTTCCCATTAAACACTGGCACAAGGCTTTAAACTTTCTGAAGTGAGAAAGTGTGAAACAAAAGCAAAGATTCGACCTTATAACTTTCCAATTCTGATCTTTATTTTAAACAGAAAATTAAAGCTGAATTCAAAAGTGTGGAGAGATATTTTCCTGTTAGTTCATTCTAGAGAAATCCAAGAATTTCTAAAAACCTGGAGTAATAGCTTCTGATTTTCCCAGCTCAGAGACTGTGAACTGACTCGGAGAGGTTTCCAAGAAACTCTGAGAGAAGCTTATGAATCACTCTCGCCAATTTAATTATTGATGTTGAAAAAAAAAGTCTTGCATCGGATTTTTATCTTGATGGACTTTCTTGGCATGTTTATTATTATATTTTAAAACCTGAGGATAATTTTATACAGCTTTGAGATATTTGCCAAAGAGATGAAATAAAACATTTATAAAGGAGCATTTTTGGAATTATTTCAGATCTTGGGAAATGTAGATATTAAGTGAGTCAGATTCACTCAGGAGCCTGTTTCAATGCAGTAGCCAGTGTGGTTAGTGCCACTGAGCAAGGTGAGCTCAGCTGATTGGCATCTGCTCCATTCTCACGGAATGCTGGGTAATGTATCTTTAATCTCTCCAGTAGCTTTCACCTTCTTGTGTCATTCCACTGCCAGGCAGGAATTTTAGTTAATTTTAAAGTGATTAAATTATAAGTGGTTATTTAAGTTGCTGGTGGAATTTCCCAGTCAAGTATTAGGAAAAGATGGGTAGTATTAGTGTGAAATAGTATTGCTTTCTTGTAGTCCCAATTAATAAGTCTAAATGTGAAATATCCTCTGTTGGTAAGATGTGGCTTTCTTTATGTCTGATATAGGATAAAAGGCAACTGTACTTTATATTCTGAATGTTTTTCTTGACCCTGTCATTTGTACAATGTCCTTTGGTTTTTTACTTTGTATTCTGGCCTCATGCTAATTTAGAAATCAGAGTTAACGGCTATAGAAAAGAGTGAAGACTCACTTATATGTCTGTACTTGTATAAGCATATTGCGTGCATAGACCCATACTTTGACAGAGTAGATTTTAAATGAATGACTGGGGCTGAAGATAGAGCTTGTGCTTAATAAGGCTCAGAGACCTGGGTTTGATCACTAATTAGCTAAGATCAGGAAAGCAGGCTTTAAAAGGTTAAGTATTAAATTTCATGTTAGACCCAAATTTAGACAGTTAACTATGACTGAATACGACTCACATATGCTTTTAAGAAATTTGTTGTGCCAGGCATGGTGGCACACACCTTTAATCCAAGCACTCTGGAGGCAGAGATAGGCAGATCTCTGTGGGACTGAGGCCCCAGCTTTGTCTACATAGCGAGTTCCAGGCCACCCAGGGCCACTGGGAGACCCTGTCTCAAAAAACAAACAAACAAAAAATCAACAAAACAAACCCACAAATACTAAAAAGAAGTTTGTTGAAGCAGAGCCAAATGTAACAAGAAAATGATTGATTGGAGAGACTGATGGCTCCCATTTCACAGCCAAAGTCATTGTTAAGTGGCACATGCCTTTAGTCCCAGCACTCAGGAGGCAGAGGCTGGCGGATCTCTGTGAGTTCAAGGCCAGTCTGGATTACATAGCAAGTAAAGTCCAGCTGAAGCTACAGGGAGGAGACTCTGTCTCAAAAAAAATATAAACAGATTTAGTGGAAAATAAGTTTGCAAGAACAGTAGATTTCATTATTTTACAAAACTGGTATATTCCAGGTACCTATTATACACTTAGAGAGCTTATAGATTCTCCTAAATAATTTTCCTGGAAAGTGCCTGAATAAAAACTTTCTGTACAGTAATTTATTAGTATAGAATTATGTGGTACTGTCATAAAATGTAACCATTTATTAGTGAAACCTTTTAAATTCTGCTACCTAGACTATCTGTAGATACTATAAACAGTTGATTCAAAGAATTGTTTGAAATTTTTTATTTAATTCCCCACTCTAACGCCTCTTCCCTCTAGAGTTTGAAGAAAAAGAAAAATCATTATATGTCCTATTTTCCTTTATTAAAAAGAGAGCTTTGTAACTAGTCCTGTTATCCAATCAATAGAAATGTGCCCCCAAATGCATTTTAGTTTTAGAGTCATTAGGATGAGTTTCTCAATACTTAACCTGTCTTTCTTGGTTTCCAAATCAAGAACACATAGATACATAGAAAGAAAAGTATCTTCTCATAAACATTTTTAAGGAAATGGAAGCAGTTAGCTACCTGCAGAAAATCCATGCAGACTATCTTCTGAGAAAATAAATCCTATGAAGAAAGAAGCCCTCTCACATTAAGACCTTAGGTGGAGGTGTCTGTGAGTTATCTGCAAGGCTTTGTAGACTGTGTAGCTGAGGGCTTTTCTTGGGCTGCATGCTAGGAAATCTATACAAGATACTTGATTCTGTAAGAAAAATTATCTCCGAACATTCTGGAATTCTCATTTAAACATAAGCAGATTAGTATCCTAATTAATCAGCACTTTATGTTTTCAGTTTCACTGAAAAAATACCAATTGGAGTTGGTAATGGAATATTAATTATTTAGTAGGAAATCACCCTCACAGGAGGTCCTAGAGAAATGGCCATTTTATCACATTTTAAGAACAGCTTCAGCATTTGGACTCTGTGCATAAACACAGCATGCTTGTTGTGAGTCAGTAAACACATTGTAAAATGATGAATTTCTCTCTTTTTGCTGTTTTTCTGAACAATCATAAATGTTCTTTATACAGATAAGGAAATGAAAGAAGTGATGTTAGTGGTGAAGAGCTGATTCACACAACCATTTGGAAGTGTTTTCATTCAGTTCCTCAGTCTAAAGCCTGCCTTATCCCTATGATCTGTTGATGAGTGGTGGGTGTTTATTTCAAGGATATGTGACATTAAAGGAGTAAAGTTGCCTTATATCATTATTTTTGATAGTCCTTTCTGATTCTTTTACCTTAACCATAATGTTTGGGATCAAAGCAAAAAGATTCCATTTTAACCTTAAATCTTAAAACATTCTGAATGAGAGCTGTTACTTTAGAGGACTGGTATCTATTTATTTTTTTTTCTTTTAAGAAGGAAAACGTTTGCAGGGCTCATTTAAATTACATTTCCAGGAAGGTATTAGTGAGCAGAAAGAAAACACAGTAGGAAGTTTTCGATATCTCAGCAAATGGCACCTTTCTCCTCCAGCTTTCTTTCAAAAGCGACTGGGTGGGGCACTTTCCGACTGTGTTGAGCACAGGTCCTTTCTGTCATCTCTCCACCAAAGCCACAACATTCAAGTCACCATCTGCAGAGCCAATTGGACCAAGTTTTGGGGATCTGTAATTTTGGAAGATCTAATGAGACTGCTCTACATTTTCAGTCATGTTTTGTCACCTCAAAAGAAAATCCCTGAATTAAACTATTCCCCATAGTTTAGAAAGACACTTTTTCGAAGAGTTACTTGTTTTTCATTCTTCTGAGCATTACCTAAAACTTCAGTAAGAAAAATTTTAGACTCCTTGGTTTTCATACAGATGATCCAAATCAGATGCCCATGGCCTTTCAATGAAAACAATAGCTATATTTAGGACCTAGAAGCCAGAGGTCCCCAGAAATCAAAGGGAGGTACCCTACAGAAAGATGTATGCATAGGAAGAGAAAGGGAAGGAGCCCTAGTAAGAGCTGATATTGCCCAGCTAAGCGGAGCCATTGAAGACTGACTGGTCAGCTGAAAACCTCTGATACACACACACACACACACACACACACACACACACACACACACACACACATCTGTTCTCCAGTCTTTGGTGATCCTCTGTTCCACTGGAGTCTAATTTCCCATATTTAGTAGACAGTGTTTTAAAGTCTCCAGTGTTATCTCTTAAATTCTTTTAACCCTGTGTTTGATTTCACTTCTAGGTCATTGGTTTGGTGTTTTCTATGGTGCTCTTCTGCCAGATTGGGAGCAAATGAATCTGTGGACTTGTCAAGTTACCAACAAATTTTTGCTCTGTAACTTTAAATATATGAGTACTGTATATGTCAGGAGCAACTGCCTTATTGAAATATCTCACCCAGATAGACTACATTATGTTCTACACATATTCACCATATTTAAATATGAAGGAAAATGAACGTGTATTTTTACTCAAAATAAAAGTGCTGTTGTTTACATCGATGCTTTTTTTTTTCCTGTCTGATCATTGTGTGTGCAGTGATGCTCATCTGGAATCACGCAGTGGAGTAATCTAAATTTCAAAGTGGCAGGACTGTAAATTATTAGGACAGAGAATCTCAGGTTTCTCAGAAACAAGACTGTTATGACGTATAGTAGCCACTGGTGATAAGACTGTCTGAAGTTGAAATAATGAAGGCTGGCCCAGAGGCATGTGCCACCTTCTTCCTTCTGTTGTATGGCACTGACTGGTAATACTGTGTTTCACTTCAGAAGTGCTCTAAGGACAAAAAAAAAAATCTGAGTGTCCATCTCCCAACCACAGAACATCTGACATACAACAGTTAAAACTCCGTTTTCTTCCTAGTTCATAGGAACGTCTTTAGATTTTACTTTCTACTAAAATCTAATATACAGGCAGCAGAGTGGCTAAATGTTCAGTGTGGCACTCTAGGCTTATGCTTATGCCCATGTTGGCACTCTCCAGATGAAGAAATTCTTTGCACACTACAGTGATCCCTAACGCCACCTTCCAGTGGTTTGTTAGAGCTGCCTCAGGCCTAGTTGGCAGAGCAGATTGTGCACACCTGTATCTCTTAACAAATCTGTTTGGTGAGGTCTGTTGGTATTTTGTAATCCACCATGGTTATGCTGCACTGTGGAAAATTCTGTAAAGTCAGTGATTTTTGAGTGCTTGTTGGTAAATATGTACCAGTATACTGATCCTCTTGGTAAGTATGATAACCATTGTCCTGACTCTTATGACCATAGATCCATTTGTCTGGCCTTACATGTCCTGTAGATGAAATAAGCTATGCATTCTGACTCCTTTTGCTCATATTTTTGTATGAGATTTATCTATATTGTTGCATGTATCTGTAGCTTATTTTCATTGCTATGTCATATTCCACTGTGTATGAATATATCACAATGCATTGATCCATTGTTCAGCTAATGGTCATTTGCACTATTATAATAAAACTACTATAAATATCCTTTTACATGTCTTCTTCTACTATATATATATATATATTTCTGGATATATATGTGGGGATGGAACTGTTTTGTAGATATGTATTAGGTTTTAATAAATTGTGTCAAGAAATTTTCTAAAGTATCTGTAATAATTTATTCTCATAGTAGAAAAGTGTGACTCGTTACACTCTTCTGAGTAAGAGGAAAAGAAAGGAAGACAGCTGTCATCAAGCAGCTCAGAGTAAAGACCAAGGACCAGGAAACTTGGCACATCCTTGCTGGTTAGATATCCCTATTCTCTACTCTCCTATCAATGATAAAAATAACAGTTCTATGAACACGTGTCATCTACCAAAAACTCTACAATAAACTATGCATTTATTTTTTCATTCCTTCTCACATGGCCTTATAAGATATGTACCCATAGTACTGCCATTCTTCAGATGAGAGGATTAAAGCTGAGAGAAGGTAGATCATGTGCCCCAGACTCAAACAGTTTGTTGTTGGCAGAACTGAGGTTCAGACCTTGACATAAGTCTCCCAAACCCTGACTGTCCATTGTGTTAGTTTCCTGATAATATTTTTCTCTATAAACTTGCCATATTTTGTTATTATTGTTCTGTTTGCCTGTCAGTATATGAAAACTCTTTGAAGACATAGTTTCTTATGTTTCTACCCTTATTACACAATGCTTAGCACATGATTGGCACACAATAAATTGTAGCTGAAAATTATAGATTTACTGAGAATTTACTCTATCCCCAAACATGTTCTAAGCACTTTACAGAAAACAACCCTCTTGGGTTATTGCTAATTATTAGACTCATTTTCAGACAAGGGAACTATAGTCTAGCACGATGAACTGATTTACGGCATGCAGCCAGCAAGTGAAGGAATTGAGATTGGTACTAAGTGATTCAGAACCCGTGCTCTCTTAAGTCATATCCTCGTCTTCCCTTATAATGTTGAAAGAACCAGTAAGAAAATGAATATTGAAGTTTTTTTTTGCATAATGTCAGACACATAAAAAGTTCAATAAATATTATATTCTATCAATGATATAAATAACTTGTGCCAATCAGGGTTGGCAGAAAAACAAAACCCCTCCATCCTCTTCAAACAATGAAAATATAGTACAAGAAGCTGATGTATTAGGCACCTTGGTCTGCCATAAGAAAATAAGCTGACTGAGTGTCTTCAACGACAGAAATTCCTCTTCTCAGAGTTCTGGTGACTGAGCATTTTAAAACAAGGTGCTGGTAGACTCAGCTCTTGGTGAAGACTCTTCCGGCTTGCAGACAACTTCTTGTGGCTTTGTCCTCATGTTGGGGAGGAGGATAGGGAGGGGTGGAGAGCCTAAGTGCTGGTATGTGCTTGTAAGCAGACAATAGCACTATCAGCTCAAAACCCCTTGACCATATTTAACATTAATTACTTCCTGATTCCAAATACTTCCACAGCAGGAGCTAGGGTTTCAAAATACAGATTTTAGGGGGACAGAACTCATCCTGTAGCAATTAGTTGCATAGATTATGGAAAATGTACACTATGAAATGGGAATGTGAGGTAAACCAGGGATTAGCGACAGTACTTAGGTCGAAGTGTGGATGGAGATAATATTATCAAGCACCAGGATACACAGTCATGTCACAGAAGATGGAACCAAGAGAGGGACCACAGACAGGGGAAGAGTTTGCCTGGCAAGAGCATGAGCCACGGAGGTTACTGGCAGGCATTCCTGGAAGAAGAGCGGAATGCCCTTGCTTCTTCAAGAAAACAAGAGAGCCTGGGGATGTGGCTTCAACTGCTGCAAAACACTGCTAGGAATAGGGAAGCCAGAATAAAAGCAGAGAGGGAAGAGTCTTGCATTGCAATTGGAGAGTTAGAGAGAAGGCAAACAGGTGCTCAACTTTTTGAGAAAAGGGTGCAAACATGGTAGAAATTATAATGAAAAATTTTAGAATTTTCAGGAGAAATTGTGCAGTTTCTTACATTTTTCCTCTTTTGGCTAAAGTACATGGTATTTTAGGGACAGCAAGGACTTCAGAGCAATTGTTCTTAACTGGGGCCATTTCTCCTCTAAGGGGATATTTGTCAGTGTCTAGAGACATTTTTGGTTATCACCACTGTGAGAGGAGGACAGTGTAATTGGCATCTGGTGGGCAGAGGCTAGGAATGCGGCCAGAACTCTACAATTACTGGAGCATGTCCAATAACTATGAATCTTTCAGTACAAAATGTCAGGAGTGCAGCAGAAAATTGAGAGAAGCAATTTAGAAAATCATCTGTGAATAATAACGATAATAACAATAACAATAATAAATCCTTACCTACAGACAGTACCATATTGTGTCTGTAGAAAGTGAATTAGACTGGGTCAGCAGTCATAGATGAGCACTGAAAACTTACCATCTTTGTGACCTTCAGAACTCATTTGAATTTCCTCATCTTTAAGTGTCAAATTTTATCAAGAAGCTACTAAAATTCCCAATCATAACTTTATACTAACTGTTGAAATGGGTTCGATTTTTCCTGTAGGCATTCTAAAATGAGAATATTTATCTTCTTGTGGTAGTTTGCCTAGTTTTTAATTTTGTTTTTGGTACCGAATGTAATTATTAAGGGAAGCTTTTACTTTCTTGACAGATATTAAATCCAGATTTAAGAATAAGTATATTCTTTTTTCCCCAGCTTTTTAAAAAATTATTTATTTAATAGCCACATGATTAGAAGAAGAATTTCATTACAGCATTAACATAGCACAGAAGATCTCCATTTCATTTTAAGATATGCTGTTTCCTACATTTTTTAATGCTACTAACACATATTTGCACATCTGTCTCTAATCTCTGTGTATCTGATTATTACTAGTCACAGTCTGTTACTTTCTGAGACCATCTGAGCATGGATATAAAATCATCGGGTAGATCTCAGTGGTAATGTTTTCCACATCTACTAATTAACATGAAGCAAATTTTTATGCTTCTTCCTCAAATAAAACTCATTTTTATTGATTTTT